GGATTGAACCCACGGCTGTGGGCATGCCAGGCAAGCACTCTGCCAACTGAGCCACATCACCAGCCCCCTGTCCTCTCTCTTTACTGTCAAAAAAAGAAATAGGAAAGGAAAAGAAATTCGAATGCAAAATCACCTCTGTGCTTTTCCTTGTAACCCCTTGACGGCTTTCATCATCTAAGAGGCAAGAGAAAGAGAAGCTGTGCAAACTGCAGGTTTTGCAGCAGGACAGGAACCTGGGCTCACCCTGTGAAGTCATCTCCTATCAGATGAAGAAGTCGAGGCTGAGAGAAGTTCTCAGTCTCTTGCTCTCCTCCCTCCATGAGCTGCTTGTGAGCTGAGGAAGAATCCTTGACACTTACTTTGACCCACATTCCCTTGAACCCTCAGTTCCCCAAACCAAACGTCTTAAGTCTTACAATTACTTGGGGATGCACCTGCAAGGAGTGGACTTGGAGGTGGCAGTGGAGAGAAAGGCTTTGAATAAACCCAGCAGGGTCTTTACAGAATGCAGTCCCAGTGATGTGGGCCCAGCTCAGGCCACACCCAAGAAAACCAACTCCCCCACGGCCTGGGAGACCTTTACTGTTACCTCATTTCAATCCTGAGCCAAGACCAAGGGAACCTGGTCACCGGTCCCCCCCACACACACACACCTTCTCAGCAGGTGCCTAATAAATAACTTCCGGGTCAGGGCAGTTCTGCAAGCGCGGTTTAGCCAGGTTCTCACAAGAAGGGGGATGTGTACTCGAGCCCAGGTCCTGGGCCAGACACCGACCTACTGTACACCGCAGCGCTCAGACATCAGGGAAGAAAATGTTTCATTTCCACTGGTGGTTTTGGAATTTTTTTCTGACCAGGACCTCTTCCTCAAAGTCCCATTAGTAGGTAGTGGCTTCTCCACTTATGGAAGTCCCTGTGATATGTGGCTTTTGCATCTGAACTGTGAGGAAGAATTCAAGGCTGGATAGATCAGAGTTCCCTGCTACTGTAGAGAAACAGTTGTTTGTTCACAGAAGGCGCCATTTCCCAGGCATTGGGAAAACAAAGACTCCTTCCTTTTCCGCCCTTTCCCTCCTCACATCCAGTGGATCAGGTTTATTTTCCCCTTTGTCCCTGTGTGGATGGATAAGCCAGCAACTACGGCTCTTTGCATCTAGTTGGATGGGAGGGAGCCCAGGAGAATGTCACAGGCTCACACTATGCACCTGGCCCCTCTGTGGCTGCTGTCAGCTCAGAGCAACTGGCAAGAACAGCTGCTAAGGGCACCGCTCAGGCACATGCCTCGTAGGGCCCAGAGCTCCTGCACTCTGCACACACCACTGCAGGGAGATTTCCTTCTCCAAGAGAACACTGCTGGAGTTTTTCAGGGTCTGAAGTAATCACCTCTGAAAAGCATTTCTTCAGAGGATCAAGATGAAGGAGAATGTGAGTACACAGTTGTCCCCCACATCCTTTTCCTGCAACCGTTGATTGCTGGGGACTCTGAGTCACCTGCTTAAAGGGTCCTTAATTGGTTGGCAATGAAGATATTTTTCAAGTAACTCTCATTCTTTGGAACCTGTTGAGTATCAAGTTTTGAAGCAAAAAAAAAAAAAAAGAGAGAGAGAGAGAGAATCTGTATTTTGAATGTCTATTTTGTTAATTTTTTTTAAGCTTCAATGTTATTTTGTATCTAAAAGTAGCTGGGGAAAGAGTTTCAATATCACATTTCAGTTAAAGGGATGTAGATCATTTTCAGCACATTTTGGAACTATTCGTTCAAGCCCTTTCTGCTTTATCAAAAGCAGAACTGAGATCCTGTGTCCTTAGCCTGTTTGGCAAATCAATATCGCTCACAGGGGAAGGCAGAGCTTTTCCTCAGCACTCTCCTTTGACGACTTGGCTACATCTTTTGTTACAACAGCTCCCTCATGTTGCAGGATGCTGCAAGAAGTTACTTAGCTGTCACCTCATTTTAAAAATTCCAAATATTTTGATAATGAGATGCCAATGCTGGAGCGAAGCTGTCGGGACAGCATAGCTCTGTGACCTCGTTCTCTCACCACATTAGACGCGTCGCAGGGAAATCACTGAACATGGTTGCAAATTCTGGGGGGCAAGTTCTGGTTATGAAATAAACCATTTGGTTATTTTAAGTGACTCTCGGTTCCCCATAGCTCATGGAATCTTACTTTTAAGTGGAAATGTTGATATGGAAAGCCACTGAAGTTCACCATGGAAGATAAAAGTTAAGAAGCAGCTCTGCTCTTGGACAGTAACAAAGGAAGTGATTAAAGAGGAGGAAAGGAGGAAGAAGGGACAAAGGAAAGACAGGAATCAGATGGAGAAGATGAAGGAGGGGAAAGGAGAAAAAAATAAATGACAGGTGGGGCGAGAGAAGACAGGGGGCTTTGGATAATGTTCCCCTTCCAAAAGTAGGTCTCCAGGAGGGGGAAGGTAGGCAAATGCTATCGTCAGTGGAGTCCCCAAGGCCACATGCATATAGCACAGAGCAATGTACATACTAACTGGCCTTGGTAACATGTTTTGCTGTGGGAACCCCTCTGGCCCTCCCATATCTTTGTGCAGGAGACCCAAATTGCTCTATAGCTGGCTGGAGAGGGCACAGGAGGGCCAGGGAGGCGAGGTCCGTAAGCATCTGCCATTGCTTAGGGACTCATCCAATGTTTAGAAAGAGCAACCTAGAAAGTTCTCCCAGCCAAAATTTGTTTCTGAAGGTCTTCATGCCCCTTCAGGTAGACCCATCTGATTTAGCAGGGAGTCATTTGCTGCCTTCTCTGTGTCCCCTGGCTCTGTCTCCAATTCCCCAGTTGCTGGGGAGAGGCAAACACTCAAAATCCACTGGTTCTCAAGAACCGTTCAGACACTTCCAACATCTTCCAAGCCATGCGTGGTGCAGGTCTGCACACGGACACGCTGTGCGTTGTGTGATCCACTAGTCCCCCAGCAGTTGAGGAAGGGTTCCCCATATGGTAGACATCTTCCTCTGCAAAAATCAAACTACTTTTGGCCAAGACCAACAGGGAGCCAAGGTTTTTCTCTGTCACCTGCGGGAGCAGGAAGCTGAGAAGGTAACAAGAAGCAGCTGCTTCAGTTCCAGTGCAAGAGTCATGCTCTCCCAACAGAGGAGATTCCTTCTGGAAAACTCATTGTTTATATTCAAGTAGCAGAACATCTAGACATGACTCAAAAAAATTCAAGCTATGCAAATGAACACGGACCAAAAGCATCGTCCTCTAATCCCCAAATCTCTAGCTCTCCAGATTGCTGTTGCCCTGTGCAGAGGGAACCCCAGGACTTCTGTAACCTTCCATAATGTCACTGTACTTGCAAGGGGTACAAAGGGGGACATGGCACACGCATAGTCTCTCATCTCACTCTTTCTCAAAAGTTTACTCCTGTACTTTGGACGTCATTCTATCCCAGCCTGTCACCTCTATCTAGCTCTTCCTAGCAGCTCTATCACGTTCCATTATACAAATGTACCATTTTGTTAGCTTCCCATCCTCCTGTGAGGAGGTACTTTTTGTCTTTCATTCATCCAGTATCCATTGAGGTGCGCCTGCCATCCGTGAGGTTTGCAGACTTGAAGGGCAGACTCCAGAGTCAAAACTGCCTGTGCTGGTATCTTGACTCTGACCCTCCTTACTTTAGATGACTTATTTACCCTTTCTGGGCTACAGCTTTCTCATCTATTTAGTGAGATGTTAGGTAACACTACCTGCTTCACGGGGTTGAAGATATTGAGTGAAATGATCAGTGCTAGTTACTTAACACAGTGCCTAGCACATGGTTGGAAGCTGGGAGCGAGCCTCATTGGCGAGGTCTTCACTACACAATAGACAAGAAAATGAACACAGTTCCTGAGGAACCGGTGGAACAGACACGAATGTGTATCTATAACAGTAAAGAGAATTTCCCCCCTTTTTTGGTTAAGTGTAGGAAAGGAACATTGGCTGGCACACACAGTTGTAAGAACTTTGTTTGGCTGTGAGAGGTTTGCAAGTGGGGACCTGGCCGGATCATCTTGGCATGTTTCACCTCTCTACCCCCCTAGCCCCCACCCCCGTCTCTCCTGAGGTCATCTCACAGAAATCACACCAAGACAGTGTCACACAGGTATCCAGCTTTTCCCCCAGACTCGTCCTTCCTCCTGTCTTTCTTCTCTTTTTGGAGAAGTAGATGGGGAAAAAAAGGTGGGAGGGGGTTTTTCTTATGCCCTTGGAAACTGTTTTCTTCTCATTCAACACGATGTGCTCTTAAAACATGGTGAAAAACAAATATTCACAAGCCAAAGCCTCTGCTTTGATCCTTCCTGGCCTGTCTTCATGTTTACATAATATGAAATATTTCCAAGTAACCCAAAGGACCTTGTCTCTGAGGATGATCAGAGAGCTCCCCCACCCGCCTTGGCTCCGGATGTTCTGAGTCTGAGCTCTGCTCCCTCGTAAAGATAAGAAATAGACCGTGTCCCTGATCTCAGAGGAAGAGCTCCTTCATCCATGGAACTTCTTCTAGGACTTCAGCAATTCACATCCCCAACCCCCACCAACACATACACCAAAGGATTTGTAATATTTACAGCGTAATTTTTTTTTTTTTAAAAAAAAAACATGGCCCTCAGAGGGGGAGAATGAAGAAGTCCATCACCTTCCCTTAAAACTGAGAATTCTTGAAAATAAGTCATGGGATCTGTGAGAAGGAAGCTGAAATACTAAACAGGAACATGTTTCAAAGAAGGGTTTTGTAAAGAGGGAAAAAATGAAGACCTTCTCCTTGACCTTGGAGGCTACATCTTTGTACGAAGCCAGGGCCAAAAGCCATTGGCATCTCAGGGCTTCTTACCATTTACCACCATCAGCTCTTTGGGGTGCTCACTACCCACTGCTGCCGGTGGTGACCTCATCACATGATTTATCCTTCCAAGGAAACATGACATTCTGGGGCTATTTGGATGGAAATTATGTCATGACCTCTGCTCTTCATTCCTTAGCTACTAACTTTTTTTTTTTTTTTTTTTTTTTTTTTGGGAGACAGAGTCACTATTTTGCCCAGGCTTATCTTGAATTCTTTCGAAGGAAGCAGCATAGGGGGAAAGAGCCTCCAGCTGTGGGACGCTGAGCACAGGCTTGGCACCCCAGTAGGGGGCTTTGGAAGTGTCCTGTTATAAGTGGAAATGCTCAGGCCCTCTGCTATTGACTTCTGGTTTGCAAGGGAAGGAGAGTGCAGCCTCTAAGACCACAGCAGTGAGCTGGACTTGGTGGCACAGTGCTTTACTTGACCCCAGTGGTGATGTTTTGAAATCTGCCAATGCATGCCACAGTCTCCACCACTCCCACATGTCTACCACCTGGCAGACCTGATGTAAATATTTTTCTGCATCCCCTACGTTCATTTGAGTTTGCTGCTCCTGTCTATGGAGATTCTTAAACAGGACCCTTCCAGATTTATATGCATCTAGTTTAAGAGTTAGCAGATTAGAGTAGAAAACAGACTTGGGCTTGGCAAGGAGGCTGTCTGGAAAAATGCCTATAGTAGGCTCCAGAGTTAGACAGAACTGGCGAATCCCTGCTCTGCTGGCTGCTGCTGTGTGCCCTTGTGCCAGTGGCTTAACGTCTCCTAGTCTCAGTTGCCACAGTGAAGCCAACAGAGAAAAGGTGTCCAGTCCTCCCTCTCCCAGCTCTGACAGTTTCTGCAGCTCTGTCCCTTCAATAAATGGAAAGGATGGAAACAGAAAGTGAAGCTCTTGGTGGATGTGTGGGCTAAGGGGATGGTGTCCACTGCCTGGCCAGGGGATTTCCAGCCCAGGACCAAGGATGATGGAGAGAAGCTGCCCAGGTGGCTTTTCCTCGAACTCCTGCAAGCCAGTTCTGCTGAGAACTGTGACTCTTCGTGTCACTGCAGGAAACAGAAAAAATGCGCGTGTCAGGTCTCTGCTTCTTGCTTTCCTGGTGTCCCTCCCTCTCAGGCACTTAGGATCCTGGTTGCTTCAACTCTGCCCCAGGCTGCTGCAGCCCTTCACCTGCGGCTTTGGAGCAGCCCTGGCCCACACACAGCCCCGCCCACCCGCTTGGAGCTGCTGATGCTGGCCGAGATGCCCCTCTCTGGCTGCCTACTTGCTGGTGCCACCCAGCAACCAAACAGGAAAGGCAATCACTGCAGAGAGTAAGGCCCTGATCCTTGGGCATCTCTCTCCTGGCAGCCTGCTCACTTTTCAGTTCCTCCAACTCCCCCGCTCACACCCCACCTTCCGGCCCCAGCCATCCCACGGTTCTCTTCCTCTGGCCTAACTGACCCCCGCCTTCATCTAACTCCTACTCACCCCCTAGAAGCTTCCAGAGCCACTCTCGCAGGGAAACTTTCCCTAAGCCCTTGCCCACCTCCACTTCCCAACCTCAGTCACAGTCATTCACAACTTCCTGTATTTTCTTTCCATTACTCTTAAGAGAAGTAAAAACTCATTAATTGTTGTGAAGACAGTATGGGAATTCCCTCTCTTCCTACCCCAAAGCCTACATACAAGACCTGAGATCAGGAACGGTCCGGCTCACCACAGCCTCTCCAGAGCATCTGGCAGATACGGACGTCCACGCCTACAATCTTGGTGACCGACTGAGTGACTGAGTAATTGAGTGAACGCCCAGCTTCCCAGATTCCTGGGAACTGGCTAAGACAGCACCTGCCTCTGCATACTAAGGGAGGATGGGCACACTGCATCCTGGAACCCCTGAGGTCCCCTGTGGTCGTCATCCTGATTCTTCACCTTTGATGCCCAAGCCCCTCCTCCTTTTTCCTTGAACGCTTATTGGTTTTCCTTCCCCTCTCCCGGCTGTTGTATGAGTGTGGGGAAAATGTCCTTTTTGAAAATCAATTAAGAATGTTTCTTCCATTGTATTCCAAATGTCTGTGCACCCACAAGGATCAAACATATAAATATATGTCCTCTTAAATATGTGTGCAAAGGTTTCTACCTTGACAGGCTATGGATGAATGAATACCTTGTGAATTGACCTCAGCCACTGTTGTGATCATTATCCCCAGGGCACCTCACCATGGCTAGATGCAGTGTGCCAATCCACACTCAGCAAAGAGAGGAAAGCACCATCTCAGCCAGGACTGGGCAGTCCCGGAAGCCAGGCACTCACCCATTCATTCATTCAGTCACCAAGATTCTGGGTATGGAGCATCCTTAGCTGTGGCCATCAGGTGTTTCCGTCTGTGGTCTGTGACGAGCTCAGCACAGTGCCAGGAGCCCAGTGTGCTGTCAGTGCATGTGTGCTGCTGCTGGTACCCACAGGATTCGAGCCTGGCTGGCACCTGCTGGATCATATCCCCAGTGCCAGAAGCTCAGCATTGAGCTTGGAGGCGCCAGTCACGCACAGACCTGGTGGAAGAGTGTTCTGGGCTGATGTGCAGCAGGGGAAAGGTCCTGCAGTGGCAACATTCTAGAAAGGTCAGAAAACAACGTGGCTGGAAGGAAATCAGTCAGGGAGGAGCAGGAGGCCAGGCTGGTCAAGCCACACAAGGGAGATTAAGTTTTGCTCTAAGCAATTAGGGGTTTCTAAATAAGAGAGCAACATGATTGATTTACATGTCTGAAATAGCATTCTGAGTAGGATTGGAAGGGGAAGGGGCAAGAATGGATGTGAAGAGACCAATTACAGTTCAGGTGTCCTTGCACAAGTCATTAGATCTCAGTTGCCTCATCTATAAAATGGGGATAAGAGAGGACATGCCTGAGGCTTCTGCGAGCTCTGATAGAATGAATCAGTGCACCCAACAGACCACAGGTGCCCTTCCTCCTTAGCTCACCATTTCTCTCCTTTCCAGGCAAGGAACTCCCCACATAATTCTCACGAGTTCCATTCCTGTTTTGTAGCAGACTTTGATGGTTTTGGCAATTAAAATTCTGAGACATTATTAATTAGCTGCTTGAGCTGTTCAGAGACACTCCCTGACAATTATAAGGACATGTCATATAGAAGACGCTCATGTCATGGCAACATATTTAGGGTTTCCTGTTGCTGAGAGCTCACTTTCTTTGAAGACGTGGCCTGCTGTCCCCAAGACAGCAGGCTATCAGCAGGAAATACACCATATCTCAATAATAAGACTGCTGCTGTCCATCTTGAGCAGCTGTGGGTGCCTAGGAGGGTGGGTGGCCATAAAAGCCCATTGTTCTCTGGAAGAACTCCCTGCCATTCACCAGGGGCAAACCCACCAGAGAGCGTCTGCCTGCCTGGACCCTGCAGAGCAGCCACTCTTGTGCAACAGCTGCTCTGTCACAGCCCCGTTCTCGTTCTCGTTTCTAGACAAACGTAAACAATTTTTGGAGCAGGGGATCCTTCTCTTCAGACTCTTTGAATGTATTTTACGGAAATTGGGATGACTGGTTAAAAAGTAGGTTGCTATTTTCCTTTTCCTTCTTAATGTAGAACAGTTAAAGTATAATTGTCAAAAAGGTAAAATTATGCCAGGTCGGATGACATGCCACACCCAGCGACTTGAGAGGCTGAGTAGGAGTTCAAAGGTGGCCCCAGCAACTTGGGGAGGCCAGAAGCAACTTAGCAAGACCCTGTCTCAAAATAAAATATATTAAAAAAAAAAAGGCTGGGGATGGGGCTCAGTGGTTAAGCACCTCTGAATTCAATCCTGGTACAAAAAAAAAAAAGGTAAAACATGACCCTCTTGCACATAGTCAGTGAACTTGTGCTAAAGATTTTAATCAACTAATCAATGAGGGAACCATTAAGATATTAAGACCAGGTTGTACATCCTTGAGAAGTTAAGTATTCATAGGTAATTTAATTAAGGATATTAGAATTTGATTGCAGAGCTATTTATAAAACTAAAGTCCTACAAGGTAAGAAAATGTAGCCTTTCAGATTATCTTTCCTTATGGGATAGAAATCATTTGCCTCTTTAACTGAAATCTACAAAGTAGCATGTAACTTGACTACTCTGGACCTTTAGTCAGAGATTCTGAACTCTGCTCCCTTACATGTGTCCCCTCTGCTCCCCTCATGAGAGGGGCACCCTCATTCATGGGAAACTACTCACAACACGCTCAGGGCAGGGACTCGGTGTGCATGCTCCCTGGGCCTGGGGGCTGGCCTCTGGTTTCTGGATGTCTTGATGTTCATTCTTAGTGAAGGTCAACCCGCAGGGTGGGCAGAGAGCGGGTCAAAGGAAGCTTCCTTCCTCCCCTGCTCCAGGGGCTCTTCTGTTGGTGCTGAGGCTTTTGACCTCCGAAAGTCTTGAAGCTGGGGCATCAACTTGACAAGTAGCTGATGAACGAACGCCTCCTAGGTGCCAAACCCTGGGGGTGCAGCTGGAAACAAGGCAGGTGCAGAACTGCTGGCCTGGAGCTCATGTCCGGGAGTGCAGGCACTAAAGAAGATTGCACAC